CCGGAGAAAGAGAAACGCTCAAGCCTGGAGAAAGAGAAGAGTTCTAAACCTGAGAAAGAGAGACGCTACAGTCGGGATAAGGAGAAGCGTGAGAAGAGCAAACATCACCGGCAAGGAAGATCGAGGAAGGTACGTCGCTGCGTGAATTCAAAAAGCAAAGCTCCATATCAGTCACAAGAATTCCCTAGTTCGCAGTCGCGAACTATTTCTCTCAGTTCGCCCTTGCTAACCGAGCATCTTCTATCGTTATCGCAAGTAGATTCTTGCCTTGCGCCAGACTGGTCTTTTGATTCGCAGATGACATTGCAAGCCATAAATCCTAGTGTGCAAGTGTCAACCTGCCCACATGAATCATCTGTTTCAGAATCTATAACCATAGTCACATCAGGAAAAGGATTAACAGGGACTATAATTTCAGAAATTCATAATGAATTGAAGCAAGTGGCACCAACAGTTTCAGAAAATAGCGAAGTTGACATTCTGCAGGTATGTGATAGTGATGTTTGTGTGGTCAAATCTGCATTGACTTTTGGGTTTGTACAAGAGAGGAACTGGCTTAATGTTTTAAAATCTGTAATGATGGACTGTGATATATTACACATTGCTTTGGAAGGGTTGAAGTCATTGAACAAGTTTGATAGATTCGGATGTGAGGGTGTTACTTCGATGATAGATAATCAAAATGGGTGGGATGGAGAATTTTCTGGGAATATTACCGATAATGAGGGATATGTTTCTGGTATTGGAGTTGTCATGTATCTGATGTTTGTTAAAGATCTCAATCCTGGAGGTGTAGGCTTAGACTATCGGAGGCCATTATAGGAGGTGTAGGCTTAGACTATCGGTTTGATGATTCTGCTGTGGCAAATTCTTATTCTGTGGCTAGAAGCCCATCTTCTATGTCCATTGTACTCGTGAATGGCATTTACCGGAACTTTGTCGGCTCTTATCTTGACTCTTCCATCTTCCAGCATCAACAACAGAAATTGAATGTTCCTGGTTCTTTCAATATGATGACTATTGGAAGAGAGATTCTTTTTGAAGTTCAGTCAACCACTCGGGTATGGGAATCTGGCTTTGAAAACACGAGTTGCTACTCGTTGGTCATCCAACCGGAATCACTTGTGTGGACAATACTTTCTAAGGATGACTTGGTGGATAATTTTACCTATGATGTCTTGAAACGGAACCCAAGGACTCTGTATTATGGTTGGAGTTCATGGTCCTATTGTCGGAAAGGAGAGGTTATTTCTTATTACCCAGGTGGTTGGAGGAGTAAGAATACAGACCATGATGATAGATATTGCTATGTGATGGTGGGCAATGATCAAGGTATGTCAAGAGTTTCAATTCTGGAAAAAATGTCACTCATGACATGTTACAGGGTATACATATCCGAAGCTAAAATCCCAAGGAGTGAAGCAACTGGAAACCGAGGACTTGCATTATACTCTGAAGCAAGAGCTACTAGCAGATGGAATATTGAGCAGAAGGTGATGAATAAAGATCAGTACCAGCAGGAACAGAACAACCTGAATAGTATGGATGCTTTGAAGGGAGAGGATCTAGTGCTGTTTTTACTAGAAGTGAGGATGAAGATTCAAGAATGGAAACTTCTTGACCAACCTACAGTCATGTATTGGGAAGGAAGAGGAGCAAGGAAGAAGAAGAAGAAGAAGAAGCAGAAGATTGTGGTTGTTTCCTATCACCCACCTTGAGGGCAAGGTGGATGTTTAGGGGGGAGTAATGTTAGAGACTCTACTAATTCGGAAATAGAAGATAGATATTTTGGCAAAGTATATTCTAGAAAAAAGTAGAGTTAGTTATTAGTTAAAGGCATTGTTAGCTGGAATGGGTGAGTAATTGGGAAGACTAATTGTCTTCGGTTGTATTAGTTACTTACTTTATATAAATAGTAGCTAGCTGGAATGGGTGAGTAGGCTGTTTTAGACTTGTCTTGGGACTTGGGAAGACTGAGACTAATAATCTTTCTTTGGGAGCTCCGGCTTTTGGGGGCTTCAGCCAGTATATTGTTTTACCGTTAATAAAGATTCTGGAGTTCTTGATACTATTTCCTTACTTTCTCTTTGATATTTGCTGGGAATTCTGGAGGATTCTATCATTTTAAAAGGCTTGAGGCGGCACGAGGCGTTTTCGTTGATTTACCTGAGGCGCAAGGCGGCGAGGCACGCGCCTCACGGATCTTAACATCATTTCCTTGGTAAAATATATTTATACTACTTCTACATGAAGCACTCTTCTCAAAAAGTGATAACATTACATAAATACTTCAAACTATTAAACAATCTTAATAAACATCATAAGAGAAACCTAATACTACATCCGGTCCCAAAAGAACTTCATTGTTTGATTTCACGATTTTTAAGAAAGCGATTTTTTTTGTTTTGACTTTCTTATTATGTCTCCCAAAAAGTACATAAAGTGTAGTGGGAGAGAGAAAGTGGACATAAAGTATGTAATAAAGTAAGGGTAACTTTATATTAAAAAGTTGCCAAAAGTAGAAATGTGAAGTTTATTTTGGACCTACCCAAAAAAAAGTGTGAAGTTGTTTTGGAATCGGAGGGAGTATTTATTAAGACAGTAGCAAGAAATATATATTAAACGGCATCATTGCCAAAAGTCAAGTCACAAAACTCAATCTTAAAACTTCGAAACATAATTAATAAACTGTTATATAAAATATTGTTAATAATAAAAATTGTCTTATATATTTTTTAAATAAAAACAAATACTTATGATCAAAAAATAAAAACAAATATTTAGGTACCCTACTCAGCATGATCAGACCGACATCGGTAGTAACCCTACAATTTCAAGGTAAAATAAAATAATACATAATCAATAAACTATCACACACATAAGAGAACAAACAATAGAAGAGTAGGAAAAATACTTGCATGTGAGTCCTGCGACGCGAGACAGCATCGGAAGAAACAGGAATTGTGATCAAGCAAACGCAGAACGAAGAAACAGGACGCAGATGTTAGAACTCAGAAGCAAAGCAAATGCAGAAGGAAGAAGGGAGAAGACTAGAGAGACTAGAGACCAAACTGAATCGCCAAAAGATATGGGATGGGAATCGCAAAAAGACAGTTCCATGAGGCGTGAGAAGCGCGCGCCTCTCAGACGCGCAAAAGGCGTATAAGGCGCGCCTCTTGGAACCTACGCCGCCTGAAGGTGTAAGATGCGATAAAGTGATCGTCTTAGGACGCCTCGAGGCGTGTTTTTTTAAACCAAGGGATGTACGCAACCTTCCCCGTGTATTAAAGCATAGAGAGATTGTTTCTGGATGACCCATGATGAAAATCGCGTCTAAAATTGTATAGACGGGCTATTACTTCATAACAAACGTACACGACCGGCCCTGTGTACAATTTTCTTCATATATGACTCAGTAAATATATTTAGTTTATACGGAGTATACATGTGCATGCCTTTGCAAAAAGTTTACATTTGGATAGTTAATTGTTGAGTGTTTGTGTATACCCTACACTCATCTTGCGATTCTTACTATTTGTTCACATACTCATTTTGTGCGAGTGTGTGACCGTGAGTATGTGTTTGTGTGCATTATAAATTTTTGGATTTTTAAACAATCTTGTTTAAGATATGTCAATCACGTGTTAATATAAAATTGCATAAATCCTTTACTATTAGGAACACAGACATTTAAAATGGTGTTATGATAAGATAGCTGCTTTGATCATCTTTCTTTTGCAGTGAATTACAGATTTAATATCTTCTAAGCTAAAAGCATATTCATGTTGGAGAGAATGTATCAAATCGGATGTAAACTAAAGTTTCAAATATAAAATTTAAGATTTTATTTGTGTTATCAAAAAACTCCAAAATTGACTTTTGTGAATGATTTTGGGTTTTAAATTTACCAAACAAATGGATCGTCCTCTTGGGCATGCATCCCTTTTCACGTATCAAAGTTAGAAGTAAAGACATAAAGTCAAAAAGTAAGAGAAGAAACAACATAATGTTTGTTACATCTTTATGCTCAAACATATCGATAAGTAGTCACTAAACAGGCTCTTTTTGTTACTAATATACAATTATAATTTTTATCTTCTTTTGTACATTTTTACTTTTCATATAAGACGAACAAAATCATTTAGGATTTTGAAATTTAAGATTCATTTGGTAGTCTATGTATCCCACTTATCAGTTTTATCAATAAATAATTTTACCAAACAATTAAATTATAATCAAACTAAACTTCCATTATAATCAAAATAAAACCAACCATTCCAGCTCACTGGGTGGGAGGTTATCGTGTCCTAGCGGAGGTCTCGGGTTCGAATCCCGCTAGGCACATTTAGGGGAGAGGAGGGAGGTCTTGCTCCCAATGATTCTTCCTACCTTCACGGAGTTGCTCAGCGGCTGAGAAGGGAGAGGATGGTAATGAAGGTAGCGGGTTCGTGTGGTGGGAGGAGCAGCCTGAAAGGTGATGTAAGTCCTGCTGCATTCGTCCTTTGGAGCCAGTACTGACGAGGCTGACTGTGATCAGATCCGGACTTAACTGTCTAGGGGCTTTGGAGGGTAGTTCATAGATTCCAGGATTATGGTAGCGTAAGCACCGACACCTGGATTATCAAAAAAATCAAAATAAATGTTTGAAATTACTACCTCCGTTCCCATTTTAACTTCCAAATGGGTTTGGCACAAAGTTTAAGACAGTGGATATTGTGTGGTGGAGAGTTGTGCAGAGGAGAGAAAAATGTGTAAGAAATGTTGTGAACCACAAATTCTTTACCAAAAAAGGAAAGTAGAAGTTTTAATTGGAATGGACGAAAAAAGAAAGTTGAAAGTTTATTTAGGAACGGAGGGAGTACTTTTTAGATGAATCAACTGACTTTGCTACTCTTTATGAATGACTATTTTACTTCTTTAATTTAACTTTTTCTTTATGTATTAATTTCAGTGTTGCCCAACATGTCACAAAATTGATGGTTCTGTTGGTTACAGTTAGTCTCAATTCTCAAACTATGCACATTTCAGTCGGTTAGCGATCATTTCGACTTCCCACCAAAATGCTGAGACCGACAGTACATACATCTTTCAAACCTCTCTTCTATCTCTACCCCCAGCAAATCCGAACATCAACCGCCGCCGCCGCCACCGCCACCTCCACTTCCCTATCACAACCTCTCTACCCCACTACACCAATCAACGAAGCCCTCATCCTCCGAGTCTGCACAGTTCTCTACCAGCAACAGTACTCCTCCGTCGAGAAACTACGCAACAGCCTCCTGAAAACGTCCTTCGACCTCACCCACGAGTTCTTCCTCCAGGTATGCAACAAATTCCCCTACTCATGGAGGCCCATTTACAAGCTTCACGAGTTTGCGCTGACCCAGCCCGGATTTTCACACACACCTACCACCCTCAACAAGATGCTCGACGTCATCGGAAAGTCGAGAAACATCGACCTCCTGTGGGATTTCCTCCATGAGATCGGGAGACGCCGTGCAGTCACCACGAAAACATATATAATCGCTTTGAAAACCCTAGCTTCAGCTAGGGAGCTGAAGAGATGCGTTGAAATTTTCCACATAATGAGCAGTTTCGGGTATGAGTATAATGTGGGTGCTTTGAATAAGGTAGTGGAGGCCATGTGTAAAGACAAGCTTGTCCAAGAAGCTAAACATGTGGTTATGAAATTGAAAGATTCAATAAAGCCCAATGTGGTTACTTATAGATGGCTAATATATGGATTTTGCGATGTGGGGGATACAATTGAAGCCTCCAAGATCTGGAATTTAATGATTGACTCGGGTTTCGAGGCCGATATTGAGTCGTTTGACACAATGATGGATAGGCTATTCAAGAACAACGAATATGGCCAGGCATTGAAGCTTTTACAATCCATGAGAACAAACAGAATGGATGATTTGGGGTTGCCTACGTACAGGCTTGTGATCAATTGGCTGTGCAAGAAGGGAAAGATTGGGGAGAGCTATGTAGTGTTTGAGGAAATGTGCAAGAGAGGGATTAAACCAGACCATTCAACATTAGCATCAATAATTTATGGGCTTCTTTGCAAGCGAAGGGTGAGGGAGGCCTATGGGGTGCTGGGTGGAATTAAGATGCCTGATATAGTGGTGTTCCATGGTATGATCAAAGGGCTCTTGAGGTTGAAAAGGCCCAGGGAGGCAACACAAGTGTTTAGGGAGATGATCAGTAGAGGTCGTGAACCGACAATGCATACTTATATAATGTTGTTGCAGGGGCACTTGGGGAGGAGAGGGAGGAAAGAGCGAGACCCATTGGTGAACTTTGACACCATTTTTGTGGGAGGCCTGGTTAAGGTGGGGAAGATGTTAGAGGCAACGAAATACGCAGAGAGATTGGCTTTCCGGAAGATTGAGGTGCCGAGGTTTGATTACAACAAGTTTTTGCATTGCTTTTCGAATGAGGAAGGGGAGGTCATGTTTGAGGTGATGGCCAAGAAACTGAGAGAGGTTGGTTCCTTTGATTTGGCCGATATATTTCAAAGGTATGGTGAGAAAATGACAACTAGGGACAAGAGAAGAATCAGACATGTTGTGTCATAGCTGAGTTAGAAGACTGTGAATCAATCATCTGATCATATGCATGTACATACTGAAACAGAGATTGAGACATGAGGTATTTTCGGATTGAAAAAGGAATGAAAATAAATAGTCTTGAGAGAAACCAAACAACAAAACCCTCCTAGTATCATACATAGCAGAGAAATCAAATCATAGAAGCAAATAGCCAATTAGTAAATGAATAATGAATTTATTTTACAAAACTACCTCAAGAGATATGCTTTAATTTTAGTTTATGACTATTTAGCTATTTAAAATTTAATTTAACAATTTAGTCCACTTCCAGCTAACCAAACAAGCCTCAGAGAGCAATTTTTTTCACTTCATTGGTGTTTTCTGTTAGTCATGTTATTTGATTTACTATGCACCTGTGGAGTAGTTGTATGTTCCTTAAATTAAATATAATTAATTTAATTGTAACTTGAATTCTAGGAGGATCACATTCTCCCCACTTCAAGGATGCTTCGTCGCTGAAACTGAAACCAAACAATACTAAGATCATAAGTATGAGTAATTATCTTGCTCAAAGATTTCCAGGTAGCGCTCACACATGTTCTCATATCGCATTCTCAGCTAAGTTGTTAGACCACATCACCTTTACCACTTTCACACATTTCCTCCTAGTCTCTCTTGTCTTAGTATCAAGAATTTTCACCTACTTTTCTTTATAAGGTAACGTCTGATCCAACTCAATCACCTACACGTGCATACGCATAGCTTATAGCTAATTCTAATTTGAAATGTTATGAATTCTAAGGTTAGGAGTTTACCTCTGGTTTAAGGATATATGAAGCATCGTGCGTGTACTTCTAGTTTGAAATGTTATGTGTTCTAAGGACCTAATACGAAGAATATTTTCCATTCAGATCTTAACGTCGAATCTAAGAATGAATATGAAAGAAAATTTCATACCTTATCCAACTCGGTTGGCAAGACTAAATGATAAGCTAAGTTTCCCACTCGTTCAAGGATTTTGTATGGTCCTATAAACTTGGGGCTTAGCTTGCCCTTATTTTCAAATCTCATCACCCCCTCACGGGTGAGACTCTTAGTAGTACCTTCTCTCCACTTCAAAGTTCAAACTCCATGAGCTTCCTTCCTTGATCTGCATATGGCTTCTGTCGATCTTGGGTTGTCTTCATCCTTCCTTGAATCATCTTGATTGTATCTGTTCTCTCTTGTAAATATTGTGATCCTAAGGCTACGACATCCATCATGTCTCCCCGACATAATGGACTTCAGCACCTTTGACCATATAAAGCTTCATACGGCGCTATTGCAATGCTTGCCTGATAGTTGTTGTATGAAAATTCTATCAAGTCTAGGTCATCCTCCCACAATCTTTTAAGATGTAGAACACAGGCTCTCATATGTCCTCCAATGTCTGAATGGTCCTCTCCGTTTGCCCATCCGTTTGAAGGTGAAATGCCGATCTTGATGATGAGTGCTGCGTTTGGTCACCTACTTTGATAATTAGTTATTTACGTATTCTTTTAAATTTGAAGTTTGAGAACTGGGACAACTAGATTTTTTTGGATTTAATTACTTAAATACTTGGGTTTATTTTGAATTGTGGTTTAACCTGCGGTTATGTGAGAACCAAGTGTGGCGATAACACCTAAAGAAAGTTTTATTTCCGCTGCAATATAAATTATTTTGAATTTAATCATTTGGGGAATGTTTTACTAAACTACTATTTATAGTATGTATTTTGGGTAAGAATTTGGGGGTGTTACCATCCATATGGTATAGAAGTGTGTCTAGTTCAGGTGGCTGCCAGTTCTTAGAGAATATCGCAGGTTTCTGGGATGACTCACCGATGAAAGGAAATTGAGAAAGTCGTTTTGAACCAAAGGCGATCAGCTACTGAACACAATGCTGCTTGTCTGTAGTATCTACTTTAAGGATTCCTTTTCCACACAATTCAGCCTGGGACTGTGAGAAGCCGATTAAAGTTTGCCATATTTTTGCTCTGATTTGGTTTAGTTGCCATCATACATACTTCTTTCTCGTAGTGGATCTTTTTGGTGGACAATGTCATGAGAAAGTCATCAAAACTTCAAATATCTCATGGGGATCAGGTACTTGAAGAACAGCAAAAGACATTGGACAAGTTTCTCTTGGTTCTTCTGCTAAATTAAAAGATCTTTTTTTAGAGTGAGAACTATGTGACATGCTTCAATGTTACTGACATTTTTGCATTGGGCACTATGGAAGGTGAAGAGAATGAATTTCTGATTGACATTGTAATAGAAACTGTTTGTCTCTTTCGCTTGTTAAGTGGAAGGAATGTTTTTTGGTTTGCCAATCTTATTATCACAGCACAGTGGGTACTCTGATCTCTTCTGGGAGTTTGACAAAGAGGTCAGCAATTCATTTTACTTGTATCACAAAACAATTATTTTATTAGCCTCTAATTTGTGATTCCTGATATGGTTCTTTTTCTTTTATTTTTTTTTAGTTGAACACGCTATTCTTCATTCACTCAGGACCAGTGTTTATGGCTGATTTAGATTTTAGATAGCGTGAGACCGTTTTGGTCATTGATGACTTCAGTAAACCCAATAAAGTTTTATAAGTTATTCCATACGGATTACATATAAGATATAAATCAACATAAAAAAGTTTGAAATTGATCTTTTAGAAGAAATTTAAGTTTAAATAATTGGCATCCGAGCTACATGATCATTAACATCGATTTGGGTGCTAATTTGTGTAATGTCCGCACATACTGACATATGAGTTGCTCACTTGCTTGTAACATACTCCCTCCGTCCTAAGATCATGGTCAGAAGTCCAAATTGTTAAATTTGGACTCTGTTTATATGAAAACAGTGTTTAGACTTCGTCAATATTGTTTTCCCCTGCATCTGTGCACCGTCAATAAAATACACTCAGCATATTTTTTACATATCAATTTAGTAAAACATTAATTAATTTATTATAAGTAATGTTTTCCGTTTAATATTTTCCTTAAATAATTGTTAAATTAAAAATACACATTTCGATGTAAAAATAAATAAATTTCATTAATTTTTTTAATGTTTTTTTATTAACAAAAATGAACTTAGTTCAAGTAAAGTTCGATTATGAAATATTCAGTTATTTGTGAAGACTCCATGAATTAAAAATTTGTGGTTCATCGTTTTTTTGAAATTTGAAATTATAGAGGCATAGAGCCGTTGGGGTGGGGGTGGGTGGGGGGTGGGGGTACAAAAAATTCTATAAATACTCTTATTTTCTAACATTTTTATACACATCTTCTCCAATCTCTAATCTCCATTCTCCAATCTCCATCTTCATCTCCATCTATTGTAGGATTGTTATATCTACCATTTTTAACTTTTTAAGATGGAAAGTCAAGATGTCGTTATACGATATAATTTTGATAAGCAGAAGGACCCGAAGACCGGGATGTGGTACGCAACTTGCAAATGGTGCGAGAAAAAATGTAGCATGGGGGTTTCAGGCGGATACGGGATGACAATGAAGCATATTAAGTCATGTGACAAAGCCAAAGGATCGGGAGGTGCGGGAAGTTCCGATTGATTACAATTTACAAAATGTTTGTCTCTTGAAGTTTGTTTTAATTTTCAAATGTAGTTCCTATTTCATTTCAAATAAATGCACTTGAAGTTTGTTTTTTTTAATACTTGTATAAAACTATAAAGTATAAAATATAAATTATAAAAAAAAATCTTTAACCGGCCCGGCCCGGCAGGTGGCCCGGCCCGAACCGGACCCGTCCAACCCTCGGGCCAGTCCCGGGCCCATGTCATACAAACCGGCGGCCCGACCGGGCCTAGGCCCGGCCCGAGTCCATGACTACTCCACTCCCCTTCCCACTTTTACTCCCCCTTTTAATCCCCACTACACACAAATAAGAGTCTAAAAATTCTAATTTTAATCTTTTCACTCCTAATCTTTAACCACTACAAATGGTCTAATGAGTTTTATGTCCTCCCCTTTTTTGTTTGTCTTTGTCACTTTCCATTTGAATTAAATAATTTATAATTCTCTTTATTTTTTTGACTTCAACCATACAATTTTTTATTTATTTCACATGTAACACAAACTTGTCAATGTCTAATGGGATATACAGTTTTTTTTTGTGATACTACTTTATTTCACAAACATGCTTATCTGCAACTTACTTAACAAGTCAGAATTATTTGTGTGAAGGATTGTAAAGTATGCACAATATGATTGTTGTTATAATTATGATATACTCCCTCCGTTCCTTAAAACTTTGCCATCTTTCTTTTTTGGGACGTCCCAAAAAACTTTGTCACTTTCCTTTTTAATCAATTATTTTGTGGTTTCTGTTATTTCTCTTTCCTCTGCACAAACCTCAACCACACAGTTTTTACTTTATTATTCTCCGTGCCGATCAACTTTGACAAAGTTTTAAGGGACGGAGGTAGTATGTTCACTTGTAAGCGAAAGGTTCTAATGTTGAGTAAGATCATAAGATGAAGCCTTATCATAAAGCCTTATCATAAAGCCTTATGTAATAAGAAGATAGAAACACGAAAAACGAGTTACCCCTTGCACCACAGTTCAACAAATATCTAAAAGTACAAAATGTAGCTCATTAGCTAAATGTTCTATACAAACATGTTATAACACTAGGTTAACATTATCTTTCAATAATGGCACAATAAGGAAAACTAATCTACAATAGTACAATGATTGAGTCGTGTATGTTGTTTGGACAACGAAATAATAAAACAGAGAAAAAAATGGTTGCTCCCCTCAACAATGAAGCCAATCCCAATGGGAAATAGCATGGTGTTTCTAAAAGAAATAGAACCACCACCAAATTAATCAGCGAGTTAAATTCCCTGGTCCAACCCGACTTGAGCTGGTCTCTCCAAATGAAACAGAAGCTAGAGACTTTGAGGCCCATACCTTGGCATTCATAGCTCCTTCCTGCAAATTGCTCCGCTTGCATGGTTCCTTCAATGAACTAAATACTTGGAATACTCGGCGCAGGTAGAGCAGAGGATGCTCCCACAAGGAGCTTATCCTCATGTTGTATCTCGTGTAAGAAAAATGAGCAAACCTACGGATATATGGGAAAAGGGCATACAGCAATCTTAGGAGAACAAACACAGTTGCCAACATCAAATACGTCTCCTGCTGAAGAAAGTTCTCAGGAGACCTTGCCCAGGGGAATGGGCAACTTTCTGGTTCACTCCCGCTATTATAAATGTGCTGGTTTCGAGAACATCCAACCTTGTTTAGGGATATGACATCTACTGGTGGTGTCTTGTAACCTTTGCAGCAGATAAATTAATATTGATAAGTAAATAAACACACCAATAAATAAAGCAAACACATAGGACATGAGAGAAAGATCATTCTGGGCCTTCTGGCTAATGAAATCTTGTAAGACTAATTATAGTTTGGAGATAAAGGAATTGTATAACTTACTCAAATCAAGTTATTATTGAAAAATAGACTTGAATATGTTTTAATCCCTATTAATATAGTGAACTTTGTTTTATGAAAAACAAAAAAAAATGCAGGAATCTAATACAAAATGTGTGATATTTTCAGGGACTAAAAATATGCATCTGCTGCATATAACATCTTACCAGTTACACCACCATAGAAGTTAATTAAAGAGTCAAGGGTCCTGTGGCCATGATATTGAGCACGCATCGTAGAATTCAGAATTAAGAATGTAGGAAGGCCGTGCACTCCATACTTTGAGAGAGTACTGCAAATTTCAAAGTCAGGTTTCATCTACTTAACAATATGTGAAACAAATTAATTATGAAACTGTTGCAAGTTCTCTGACCTTGGCTTGACAGCTGACTCTTCAATTGCATAGTGGGGAATTGAGGGGAATAGAGAAGATAAATCAGAAAAGATTGGTCTAAATGCTTCAGAGAACGGACACCATGACGCATAGAAGAGGAAAACAGCATAATTATGTGATCTCTGGTTAATCGTACGCAATGCCCTCTGCAATATCATCTCATTTCCCTTGACAACAGGATTTTGAAATTCAGTTATAATTTCTATTGAAGATGCAAAGAGAAAAGATCTACAATCAATATAGCCAAATAAAAAAACAAACAAACAAACAAATAAATATTTCTCAACCTTGTCAGAAAGGAATGATGTACAATACACTTTATTCACACATTGTTCTGGAGTTGTATTTTGTCTTGCTTTCCTTTATAACAACTCACTCTAGCATAATATATTAATATGTACATGAGGGCAAACAATTGCTAAGTGCAGAAGCGACGATTTATTTTGTAGTTCGTGCCACATTTACTCCACCTAAAGTTTAAGAGCTCAATGCTGACTTGCTTACAACAAAGTGTTGATTTTGGTTGCTACAGTTTTCACTTGTCCAAAATTCAAATAAATATCAAGTTCAAATCTTTCTTGATAAATTGAAAATGGATCAGATAAAATCTTGTAGTTTGCTGATATGATATGAATTACAGACCTATGAGAGGTATTAGAAGAGGATGAAGGAGCTTTCCTCAATTCCTCCTGCCTATGGTGGCTGGTCAGAGGCTCATGCAGCAGAGTAAAAGACCAGGAAAATGGGTAATGTTGCAGACAGGGAGGGGCTATGGTGGATGAGAAGTTCACAACTCTATCAGCTTGGGCTTCTAGGGGTGAAGTGGTGGACAGTTCTTTACAATGCTTTGAAAGTGGGTTCTAGGGCTGGTTAATCTGTTAGGCTAAGCATGAGATTTCCTACTCCAGCCTATGGTGACTGATAAAATTACACCTAACAAAGAGCAAGAGGGAGAAGAGCTGGATGGGAGAAAACTTCCAAGACTACATTTTTTTCCATTCCAACTCATCTTTCAGATTTTCAATTACATAATCCCCACCTAATTAATGCAATTACGATTGTAATTTAAAAGAAACTATGAGTTTTGCCAAATATAAAGAGATCTCAAAGTAAACTTTACATGCAAGGATAATTTAAACATATTAAATCACTTAACTGTGGAACCCAGCATGCTCTTTCCTGGTCTTAAACCATACTGAATTTACAACAATACTACATCAACATTTGGTGTGATAAAAACTGAAAAGTAAGCAAACTTACTTTCTCCGTCATTCCATGTTTTTAATTAGGGAAAAATAATTGAAATGTCTCATACTTTGAAGGGGTGTGAGATAAAAAGTTATGAGGATGCAATTTAAAATAAATTTTATCAGATGTAATATTATTTATTTCACAAATGATATTTTAGAATGTTAATTGCATCCTAACAAGCTTAGAGTATTTTAAATAATGTAATTATCCAATAAATTTATATTTAAAAAAAAACACAATCATGGTGTGAGACTGAACATAATTTTTTAGATAAAGTTCAGGGTATATATATTATATATACAAGTTTGGGGTACTTATCTCACTCCCCATCAAAGTTTAGGATATTTATATTATTTTCCCCTTCTAATTATCCTACCACGCTAAATATAAGCATTTTCCCACCTCACAATTTTGATGTAAAAGTGGAAAATGCGTAGCATTTGACACGTTTTCTTTGCCATATCTTGACTTTAGCTGAAAACTGAAACTCACAAATTACATGTATCCTAATTTATCAAAAGTCAAATTCCGCCAATGGAAGAAGATTCCAAGTTCCAACATACCTGTGTACGGGCTCTCCAGCAAAATGCCCGTTGGGCAAAAGAAATGGTTTCAAAAGTTAAAACCGCAAAGCCAACTTAAATAAATCACCTAGATTGAACTTGAACAGCTGTAAGTAAATACATCCTCCACCCACGAAGATTAAGGCTTGAGAAAGTTACACGATTATTAAGAAAAGTGGAATTATGTTGATATTAAATTTGTAAAGTATGAAAAAATAAGAATGAATTAGAACCACACAAATATTACCAAATATGGTATGGAATGAACTTAGTAGGAGATGAAAAAAGAAAAAAGAACAAAGATAGTGGGATGGAGGGAGGGAGTGCAATTTTACTATGGGGTCCAGATGTTTGAAATCTTAACATAGAATGGTTCTGAACTGTTCAAGATAAACTTAACTAAAAACAGACTCTGGCACTTAAAGGGAGCCCTGAACATAGAACACAGGTACAATTCAATAGGTCCA